GGTGCTCTCACCTTCCCTGGAGATCTTCAAGAGGAGACTGGATAGGCACCTGGCTGGGGTCTTATGACCCCTCCCACCCCCAGTGCTCCTTTCTGCCCATGGCAGGGGGTTGGACTCGATGATCTGTCTAGGTCCCTTCTGACTCTTTGATTCTATGATTCTATGAACTACCCTAATCCGGGCGCGGGCCAACCAGGTTAACTGTGCCACACAGACATAGACCTAGAATGAAATTATACTATTCACTGATTGAGGTCCAAGGGATTGCTACAACATCTCAGCCCAGTAAAGCCTATCAAAAGTCCAGTAACCCGTCTCCTACAGAAAAAGTTGCTGCTTTTTTAATACTCTCAGAAGTAAGTTGTTATGGAATTACAACTGATGCTAGGGAAAATATTTAGCTCATCCAGTCAAGTGTTTGATTTATATCTCCAAACATGAGGGTTTCCATCTTCTCTCAAACTGTCACTTTAAAAAGAACTTTATTATTTATTAATTATGCGCAGAAAAGCTCAAAGTTGCATAAAATTATGCAGGTACTTTGTATGGGTGGGGGTGTGTGGGGGGGGATGTGGGTAGGTGTGTGGGATTTGGAGCCCCAGGAGGGGGGACCCCTGCATACCCTGGCAGGATGTGGGGTACTGCAGGTCAGGAGTGAAGGGAAGCAGCAGGGCTGGGGGAGGCTGTGGCTTGGCAGTGAGGGGCAGGGCACAGGCATATCACTGCCCCCCCCATCCACACAGACATATTACCCCTACAGGTGTCCTCTTTTTTGAAAATGGAAATATGGTAACCCTACAGGAACACAGCATGGCTGAGTGTAGAGCAGCACCCAGCAGCTAAGTCTATGGAGGGGTAGAGGCAGAGAGAGAGGGAAGGGAGAGAGAGGGGGCAGGGGGGTAGAGATCGAGGCCCCCATGGCGAGGGAGGAAGTGGGGCAGGGGCTGAGAGGTGAATGGAACCCCAGGGCTGGGTTGGGTCATGCAACAGAGATGTGGGAAGCTCGTCCAGGGGTGTGTGTGTGGTGGGGGGGGAGAGGTAGTGCAGCTCCCCACTGCTGAAGCTCCCCCCGGGGAGGCATGGGGGACATGTGCCCCCTGGATATGTGCATGAGACAGAGGCAGGTTGCCTGCTGCGTGCTGGGGCTCTGCACCCTGCTGCCTTTGCCCCAGGAGCTGCGTGACGCCTTGTTGTGCCTCTTGCTGCTGGGCAGCAGGGGATGTGCGGCTAATGCGTGGCTCCCAGAGCAAAGGCAGCAGGGTGCAGAGATCCAGTCTGCAGTGGGCAGTTCACCTCCACCCCATGCACAAATCCAGGGGGCATATGCCCCCATGCCTTCCCTGGGGACAGGCACAGCAGCAGGGAGCCCTACCCACGCCAACGAGCCTCCCACAGCTCTATCCCACAACCCACCCCAGCCCCTGGCCCACTCCCTCCCTCCCCATGGGGGCCTTGACCTGCCCCCCACTGCCCCTTTCTTTCCACAGACTCACCAGCTGGGCACTGCTCTATACACAGCTGAGCTTTGTTTCTTGGCACATGTGTGCTGGGGATGCTTGTGTGTGTCTGTGTTCCCCCACCCTCCTGCAGCAGCCCAGAGCCCATACCCAGGCTGCCCTGCAGTCCTCTGCACTGCCAATGCTGTCCCGCCAGGTGGCCTAGAGGTGGCAGTGATGACAGCGGAGTGGAGCCCAGGTGCGGGCCCCAAACCCCCATGAGTGATTAAGACATTAAAAAAATGAATGCAAGAACCAATTAACACATTATCGGGCACATTAATGGCGATCCACACCCCTATTTATTGTGTGCGCGCGTGCACACACACACACACTCAAGGTGTATACATAAATATACAAAACGTGTGCACACACGTGTGTATGCATGTGTGCATAACAGCTATTACTTCATTATCTCTCTGCACTCAAAAATTCAGTGGAATCTTCTTACAAAGTTTGTTACAAAAAGAATTTCAGCACAACAAAATTAGCGCCAAATTTCTCCTGATGGCCCATAGTAACAGTGGTAACTGGACTTTGTTAAAATGAAAATGTACTGCTGTGAAAAATTTCTTACAATGAATGTTCTTTTTCCAGTGCATGTATCTATAATAGTGATATGAATACAAAGCCAAAAAACCCCATGGTACAGTCCATCTGGTTAAGATGAGCAGAAATGTAGCCCTTATAGAAAAAAGATGATGAAAATGGAGGAAGAAATAATTTCTGGCTGCAAAAAAAGGTATTGAGTCAACAGAACTCAGCATCATTCTACTCTTCTTAATTATAATCTTTATAAAATCTTTTTAAACACTTTTTGTTATAAAGAAATTTAGGTACAAGAAAGTGAATCTCTTGAAGTTCACTCCCGGATTCCACTTGTATTCTAAACTGGCAGCTGCCACCAGAGGAACTATACCTTCATGGCAAATGATTTCAAAAGCAGGAAGGATGATCTAGTTGCTGAAGCAGCAGACTGTCAGTTAGGAGATGTGAGCTCTGCTCCCAGCCACACTGCCACCTTTCTTTGTTAGCTCAGACAGACAGACTGTACTAGGACAGAGTGCTTTTTTATCCCTGGTGTATCTAGGATACAGATATACTAGTATATAGCCCTTTTTCTCTTAGATTCAGATGTCACTATGATTGTTCATGGACACAAATGGGAGCCAAAGGTAGCACAAGACAGTTGTTCCTGTGCTACTGCTAAGGACTACCTGGAAAGTCGCTCACAAATCATACTGGATGGAGAATGCAACTGCTTGCTTACTCAATGCAGGCAAAAAGCACTTAAGGGCATTTTTACACGTGCTTCAGGAGGTATGGGGGTGCTTTAATTAGTGAGCCATGCTAATTAAAAGTGCCTGAGCATCACATGTATCAGTGTCCTCGCACTGAAAAATGGAGGTGGGGCATTTTGAACTAAGATTCGTTGAACGAGATTTAGTTCATAGTGCCACACCACCATTTTTCAGCCTGGGGGGACGCTGATAAACATGACGCTAGAGTCTGCTGGAGTGCGTTAATTTCTGTGCTCCATCAGACTCGATTAATTGATTTCCAGCACATCAGAGCAGGCTCCTAGCATACATATAGGAGCCTTAAGTGCTGATGGACAAAAGAAATATAAAGCTTTACATGTCTCGGTTTCTCGCCCCCTATATCAGAAAGTTAATAAATGAGCCGGAATTCTCAAGCCCTACACTTTAAAATCTGAAGGCAGGCTACCCCCAGTGAAGTTTCATTAATTTTTCAATTTACTTCATCCATGGATTTACTGAAGCTCAAGGTTGCTACAATTTAGGACACAATGCAGAACTGTACCTTCCCCCATGAGAGTATAGAGGCAAGGGAAAGAGAGGTGCAACGCAACTTTCAATTTAAAAAGCATTATTGTTAAGCAGTGGGTGACTGGCAGAAACTCAGCTCATTAGGCACTACAAAATCATTTCTCAAAGCGCCTTACAGAACAGCTTGGAGCTCAAAATTGCTATTTACCTATATGGCTTCTCCTACAGCATGCAGGTATTTCAAAAATCCAATCTCTGATGTCTCTAACTGACAGCAGCAGTGTACTCAAAAAGTGCTTAACTTTGCACATCACTTCATACATATCTCACCTTCAAAGCACAGTGAAATTCCATAAGCAAGTAACTTTGCACTGTGCAAAAATATCTCAATCGAGTTAAACATTTCAGGAAGTTGTGCCAATCTCATAGGCACGTGTTTTTTTTGTCTGTGTTCTGGATTGGAGTAATACGATTAAGTACACTAACCTTCAGAAATGAGAGATCATAATTGCGGTCCACATACGTTATCTCCAGATTGCCAAGCACTATCTCACAGTTGTTATACATCCTCTGCAGGCTGATGAAATGGTCCTCCATATTCCCCAGCTGTGTCAGCTTGTTACTTGTTCCTTGGCATACTGGTGAGAGAAAGAAAGGTCCATGAAACAAAAGAGAAACCAATACAGAGTGTGTGTCCAACTCTACAAATATTAGATCATCAGGAAAGCACTGTGTATGGACTTTAAGAAAAAGCAACAACACAATCAATATTTTGTCCCCCTCCTGGAATAGTTCAGTGGGATGTTCCTCAAGAGTTGAGACTGATGCAAACTAATATTGGGAATATTTCTCCATCATCTGCATTTCTGTGATGGGGTAAGGCTAAAGCAAGGACTCAGGGGTGTTGGTTGTAGCTGTGTTGGTTTAAGGACATGGGCAGATAGTTCTTTGGGTAAATGTGATATCTTTTATTAAACCAATTAAAATAGTTGGAAAAATTGTTCTTTGTAAGCTTTCGGGTACAAAAACTCTTCTTTAGGCAGAGGGACAGTCATTCCGCTGAAGAAGGGGATTTGTACCCAAAAGCTTGCAAAGAACAATTTTTCCATCTATTTTAGTTGGTCTAATAAAAGATATCACATTTACCCAAAGAATCTTGTCTGTCTAAAACAAGGGCTCATGATTTTGGGATCTAGATTTAAGTATCTTCCAGAATTTTGTGACCTACATATACCAAATCCTGGTGCGTGGCCATGGATTTAACAGAAGGCAAAACAGATATGCACCTTTATAGACCAACTCAATAAGATATATACAGAGAGAAAATACAAGCTTTTGTGAACCTGAGTTCACTTCATCGCATGTTGTCACCATCAAACAGTTAAAATGGAGCCCTGTTCTGCAAAGTGACTAAAATGGACACTATGGATTTTTCTTGTAGCTCAGGGACCACTGTGTTAAAATATCAAAGGGAGAAAATAAGGCATCTTCTCCCTTAAACTTACATACCTGCAAATTATCATATCACGTACAGTTTCCCTCATCCACTATCCTTAGAAAAAATAAGTCTACAGCCTAAATTATGCTCATACTTACACCTGCGCAATATCACAAGGCAAACTAATAGTGTTCCACCTGGGGAACCAAAGGGCATAATTAGATCTAGACAATCTATGACTGGTGCTGATATAAGGTAAAGAAAAAAAAGTCCAGCACGATTTTCAGATCCCAGATTATATTTGTTATGATGGATGATTTAAAAAAGAAAAAAAAGTAATTTGCATTGTATTTTCAAGAGAACATGTTCTCTATTAATTTACTGAGGCATGGAACCCTATAATGGTATCTCTGTAGTTACTATATGGTACCAATGCAGGATAACAGGTGCAGCTAAAAGACTTCAGAACCATCAATTTTTTTCCTGCTTCTTAAAAGGAGGCTTTATGACCATAATTCAGCCTTGTTGCTGCCAGCCTCAGATTCTGCTCAACTCTGATAACACTTAGTGCATTGGCTAGGAACTCTTATGCATTTTCTGACAACTATATCCTGCAAGACAGGATACCCTTAAAGATCTTAAGTCTTCTTTCAGTTTCCTTTCCATGTGGCTGGCAGCTTGTAGCCAGTGTAGCAAACACATTATTCTAAGCTCTGTGGAAATGGAAGAAAGTCCTCTCCTCAAAAGAAATTTTCAGATTGAGGCTCCTCTTGGGTTACTAGGAGGCTGCCTGATTTAGACAAGACAAAGGGTGCGGTGCGGCCTCGCTCAGAGGTGTGGACCATGAGATGCTTGGGTATCTGGTAAGGGCAGAAGGCATACATGAACTCTGGGGGAAGTGAGAAGCTTGAAGTCCTCAAACGCATATATCCAAGTGAGCCAGGAAGGGTTGCTTTGGTGCCAGCTCTTGCCAATTGAAACAGCAGGATTCAGTTAGACAGCCCAGAGATAACAGGACCCTGCAGGGGTCAGACAGCTGTAGCTGCAGTAGCATCTGGATACCTGACGTATATGGGAATTGTCCTGACACATTTTGTTTTGGCACACATATGTAGTTAATGATGCCTAAGTCTGCAATCTCAGCGGAGAAGGAAAACCTTCACATAGGGAAATGCTCCCATTATGTAGGTTTATGGTGGTGTGATGGAAAAATTAGTACTTGCCTAACATTGCATTGTACCCTTTTAGAAAAACTAGAGGAACTGTCAAAAATTAGCACCAGTATGTTTCATCACAACAAAGGAATGGGACTTCAAGTACTTGTACATGACATGCTTTGTTAATGCTATAACGTAGTGCATTTAACTGTTCAACACAGTATTACATAAAAGGAGGGGAAAAAACCCCGTGCCTTCATCCAATTGTTCTCCACCTTATTTTTAAATAGCTAACATTAAAATATCATCTCTGCTATGCTACAAGTGAAAGTGCAGCACACAGAACAATACATTCAAATACTGGAGAAATTCAGTGTGAGCCACAATCAAGGGCTGGTTCTGAGTTCAGATACTAATGGTATAAAAGAAGAGACTTCAGTGGGAGAACCAAGCCTTTATTTTGTACCGTCTGTAACTGCAACGAAAAGCAGACCCCTAATCTCAAGGGGACAGTGACAGAATAGCTTTCCGTGTGTGTGAAGAAAAATAAATGACATTATTATTTATCGACGAAAGTGAAGGAAAAAACCAAACCAGAGGACACTGGTTCCTGAAGCAGACAGATGACCAACTATCCTTGGGTAGCCACCACAGCAGACACTATTACAGCACCACCCCATTAGAAGCACCTAACTCTTTATTTGCCTTGGCTAACCCAGGACAGAAGTGGACATGACACCTATGCTGGTGTAAATTGTGTTATGTAAATTGCTTCTTTTTTATGCTAGTATAAATGTGTCAGGTGACAAGGCCCCATGTAGGAGAGAAGATAACTTAATAATGCAGAACTAAAAAGAAAGATGTCAGCTGGCAAAAGCATTTATTAAACTTGTTATTTCCCAGTGCAATGGACACCATGGTATCGTGATAATAGATTCCATAACATCTGTCTATATTTACTATAACTTTAATTCCACAGTTTTTATTTTTTCTTATTCTAATATAAACAATATACCGCAATACATGAGATCACTGTGTGTCAAGTGCTGGCAAAGGTGGGCACTTAATGGGGACTTCAATTAAACAGTCTAAGCCGCATGCTACTGAACTCCGATCTGTCTTTCAGCCAAAGTATTTTAATTTATGTTAACACAGTGCAGGAGGATCAAAAGAAATCTATGACCCTTGTCATATTTGCGTCAAAATCTATTATTTATTCAACTGTTGGGGAAAAAAACCCTAAAGTTAGTCAAGATACTTCAACTATGATTTCAAATATTAGAGTCTCAAACTTTTATACGATTAAACATTTCCTTTTGGCTCAAACATAAGGTGATTTTTTTTTTTAATCAACAGGAGTCATAAAAGAAGCCTCTCTTGCCACATTATGGTCAAATTACAAAAGCAGAAAGATGGAAATACTGCCACGTACTGAGCTGCATTGGAGAATTTGTCATTAATGGGAGACTACTGTCAGAACCATTTGTCACTGTCAGGAGGACAGAGTGGCAGTAAAGGGATTTGCTTAAGCTGTTAGAAATACTTCAATGAGACAAAGAAAACACATTCATAAAGAGTCACGGTCTGAGCTAGTATAAATGACCATAGGGAGCCAATCTAATGCTAAGAATCAAATGCAAATTATCAGATGCAAATAAAGTTTAGATTAGCCTCAAAATTGAAGAAATGTGATCCACCTACACTGATCTTCAGAGTCTGCCAAACAACAAGATTCCCTCTATAAATCCTGCTTTTGTCCACTGACCAAAGGAGTCACTAACTACCCACAAGTCCAAAAATTTGGTGGTACAGTAGTGGCACTCCAGCCCAGGTGCCAAATTTCCAGACCGTGTGTGGAGCCCCGTGGGCCAGGTAGTATGGCCCTATGTACTAAATTGGATGTGCAAGGCTAGGTAGGGGGTGGGGTGGGGTGGGGTGGGTTCGGGTGTCACCAAGGCCTGACCCCAGTGTGCAAGGGTGAGAAGACACAGTGCAGTGCCTCAAGGTTCAATCCTGGTACATGGTACATTTGGGCATGTGAAACCCAAACCAGGCATGGAGGATGGCTCAATGCCACTCAGTTAACTTGGGGGTCAAAAGGTGGAGTGCCGCTATTTAAATCAACCACAGAAACAGCAGATGCTACTGAGTAGGTTGATATCTTTTGAAGATTTCTATTTATTTGCATTAACATTCTATGAAATGCATTATTTATTTTCATAGGTTTTAGCTAAAAGGAGTTCCACAAGAACTGATAAAATTCATTTGAAATCTCAGTCTATAATTTTACCAAGCTATTTGCTATATGTCTACCAAATAAAAGTCCTTTTTTCGGAGCTTTACCAATCCTGGCTGACAACTAGGAAGACCTAGCCTATCAGTTTCTGCATATCTATACTTAATTTGCAAGGGAGGGTGGGGGGACTCCCCCCCTTAATAGTTACAAGGAAAATTTTCCAGTTCCCAACAAACCAAGAGCAGTTAACCTGAATCTGCAGTAAAATACATCTCTTTATTTGCTGCTAGTTACTCTCAGGTCTGTGCTGCAGAATGAACAAAACAAGATATAGTTTGGTTTGATCAGTGCTGTAGAGAGTTCTTTGGGAAGCAATGATGCTCATAAATACCTTTTTCTCATTTCCCTCTTGTGGATAAATCTTGCAAAAACAACAAGCTACCTGGATCCAAGTTGCTGAGGCTAGGCCAGAAACAAGGAAACTGGGAAGGGGCAGAGATCCCTCTAACAACCTCAAGATAAAGAAAACAAAAGCTCCTTTTCCCTTCCAGCAGTTGTGTTTTGGACGGGCTTCACACTTATTCAACACCTATTAGTCAGGGCCTAATGTAGAAGCCCAGGCCCAAGGACTGCATTCCTGCAGGCACTGCCGCACCCGCTTCTTTCCCAGCATTTTTGACAAGTCTCAGTGAAAATGGTCATGAACCATGTGTTGAAACAAGTCCATCAGTCTTTGGGTGGGGAGCTGAGGAAGGCAGTACAGGACCATACAACAGTGCAGCAAGCAAAAAGTGTATACATTTAGCT